GGTTTTTTTTCATAAAAATTAATAACTAACATAATGCCAGACATGTTTTTTTTGCAAAAAAATATTTTTTATCACAGTATTGATTTGCGCTGGGAAAATTTTCTATCTGCAGTCCATTCTCGTCATAAAATGCTCTAATATATCTAAAGTTTATTTTTGTTTAAAATTGCAAGTCATCGATAAATTGTAAATGACTTTTAGGGGGTGCCCAAAAAGTACGTCACACGTTTAGGGGGGAAGGGGTTTACCATTTGTGACAAATTGTGACATGGGGGAGGGAGGTCTGAATCGTGCGTTACGTCACATCAAACAAATAAAAATATTATTTTGTAATATTAAAAATAATTTTTATTCATATTTTGGTGGTATTTATTTTTTTATTATTATTAATATTATAATAGGTACCTATGTCTGTAAAAGAAGTAAAATATTAATAAATTAGATTTAAAAAATATATATATATATATTATTGTGACGTGGGAACTTGAAAGGCAAAGGGGGTCAAGACTTTATGTGACAGGAGGCGGAGGGTACTTTATGAACGCCCTATTATAAAATAATACTTAAATAATCATGCTTTTTATTACACACAAAGTGTGGAAAGACCGGACTGGCTGGTATAAGCATTTACTCAATGGTATAAGTGTCTTACCAGAGAACATTATAAACATTTTTTGACGCACATGGTCTCTGGTAAAACGGTTTACCATCATTTTTAAAAAAACATAAACAAAAATTTTGCCTAAATGACATATATACAACAATACTATGTCTTATGGAAGCCATTTTCAAGGTGTTTTGGTTGATTTTGTGAAAGAATAATTTTGCGCGTTAAAGGGTATTAGTATCAGCTGTAAATTTCTAATAGTGTATCTTCATACTGATTTTATTTACAGTAGTACGAAGCAGTTTCTTAAAATGTCAGCGTGTCCTATAATTGGAGAGCCAAAAAAATTACCCCAGGATCAACTTCCAAGTAATGAAGACATTATAAAGTATTGTAATTACCTAAGACAAGACAAAAAAAACGAGAATCAATTTGAGCCATCATTTTCTGAAATTGTAAATGTTGTAGCTTTAGATGTAAAAAAATTATTTTCTGTAATTTCGGTGCCAACAGTTTCAAATCAACGAATAGTACAATTAATAATCATTAACATGACAAATATTTGACAGTTAAAAAAGTAGTTAGTAATAAGCGCCATTCCACGTCATCCGGTCAGAAAAAAATTAATGATTACAGAACGATTTCAAAAAAACTATTTGATGTAAGCTTTTGCAAATGTATTGAGTTTAGTAACTGTAATTGTTCAGAAGAAAAAAAAGTTCCTGTCACTCAACATGAATTTTTCTCCGACCAAAGAACTACACGCTTACAGAAAATTCCTCACCAACTTTCAACCATCTTAGAGTCAAATAATGAATGTATAGAATGCTTACCTCGTAATATCTCAGATGTAAACCAAAATATGTTATTTTCAAACTTATCTTCTGATTCATCATTTATTGAAATGAATTTTTCACAAAAATCAACTTCTTCCATCGACAGCACTTCGTCAAAAACTACTTCATTCCATGAACCAAGCTACAGACAAAAGAGAAGCATAGCTTCTAATTCTATTCACCTTCAAAATAGAATTGAATTCAAAGAAACTGCTCTTACTAGTCAAAGATATAACTTAAGTAATCGCGCCACTGCTGCTGTTGTAACTTCGGTTTTAATAGATGTAGGACTAATCACGAAAACTGATAATAAGTTAATCACGGATAAAAATAAAATCATGAGAGAAATATGCAAAACTCAAAAAGCTTTAAAACTTGCAGCAAATAATACTGGTTTTGAAGGTGTTTATTTCGACGGTAGGAAAGATGATACTTCTATTCAAGTGAAAAAAGGTTCTAAATATTTTCGCCAATTAATCAAAGAAGAGCATATATCTCTCATCAGCGAACCAGACTCGAACTATATCGGCCACGTCACTCCCATTTCTGGACAATCTGATGATATTGCTACCTGTATTTTTGACTTTCTGATAAAAAACTATCCACTATCTAAGGCAGATATTACTGTGATCGGTTGTGATGGATGTCCTGTTAACACTGGATGGAAGGGTGGAATAATTCGACGTCTCGAAGAAAAATTTCACCGGCCTCTTCAGTGGGTAGTTTGTTTATTACACTTGAATGAGTTACCGTTGAAACATTTTTTTCAATTTCTTGATAGCACAACATCTGGGCCTAACTCTTATAAAGGACCTATCGGAAAAAATCTTTTGATGTGTGAGAAACGACCAATTATTAAATATAACATCGTTGATTGTGATTTACCATCTGTTTCAATGTCTGATTTAAGTAACGATCAAAAATATTTATTATCAATTGCTACAGCTATCAAAACAGGTAAATGTTCAGATGACTTAAAAAATCAAAACCCTGGTCTTCTCTGTCACGCCAGATGGTTAACAACTGCAAATAGAATTTTGAGGTTATATATTTCTACTGAGAAACCTGATCCAAAATTGAAAAAACTAGTAGTTTATATTCTTAAAGTTTATCTACCTGTTTGGTTTTTGATCAAATCAAAAAGTACAATCGATCAAGGTCCGAAACATTTATTTGAATTGCTAAAGAGATCTCGTTATATGCCCAAAATTGAAAAGAAAATTATTACTGATTGTCTTTCACGAAATGCTTTTTTTGCATTTCCTGAAAATTTACTTCTTGCTATGTTAGTTGATGACAAGTCAAATATTCGTGAATTTGCTTTGAAAACAATTATTAAAGCAAGAGAAAGTTCAGAATCAGCAAAAAACAATATTATTCGATACTTCAAGTTACCTGCTCTTCAGATCAATGCTAAAGATTATACCAAAATGATTAATTGGAATCACTGTACTATAACATCTCCTCCTGTTCTAATTAATACATCTACTGAAGAATTGAGAGAAATTTTAGCAAATAATGATATAAGTCCGGGACGTAAATGGGAATTTCAAAATTTTCCTTGCCATACACAAGCTGTAGAACGTACTGTTAAACTTGTGACAGAAGTTTCAAATAAAGTTTGTGGTTATGAAATGAGAGACGGCGTTATTCGCTCAACTTTGGAATCTCGTCGAAAAAATTCAAAATTTGACAATAAACTGCAATATAATGTTTAATATCTGTAAAAATGTAAATAAAAAATAAAAATCAATGTAATAGTCATAATCCTTCTCTAATATTTTTTTTTGTAACTTGCTTCTTGAATTATCGAATGCTCGTACAATAAATATTTGTATAGTCCTAATTTATGATCAACGGAAAGTGTCAATAGCACATAATTTAGTCTGTCGGTAAGTAAATTACATGATTAGTGTTATCAAAAGAACTATTTTACAAAGTTTACATTTATTGTAATCATCTCAACATTTATATAATGAGACTTGAAATTTAATTTTTCAAAAATTTCAATAAAAAAAGTATAATGTGTTCATTTATGGTTAGAAAAGTAATTTTTTTCGGAAATTTACAATTATTACAAAAAGTATTGAAGATACGCGATTCAACATGAGAACTTTTTTGTGGAAAATTGAAATTCCTACAAAACAAGTAATTTGTTAATCATTTTTAACGAACATATAAATTATTTACAGTCAAAAATGCCACTTTTTGAACAAAAATCGCAATCATCTTGATAATTATCAATCGCTAAAAATCTTATCAAGACATGTTTTTGTAAGAAATTTAATTTTCTAAACAACCAAGAGTTTCTGAATTTTTTTTTATCGATAAACATTATTTGAATGGCCAAAATTACAATTTTGACACTAAAATCGAGTTTATTTCTGAAACTATCTATCTGACGTAATTTTGTCTAAGGACCTTTTTTGTAGAGCATAAAATTTCCGATGGAAATAAGTTAAGAAAAAATTTTTTTGAACATGTTGATTTTTAATTGCGTTGGGCGAGCCTAGGATGTTGATCGAAAATTTTAATCTCTTACACAAAATTTTTTTACAACATAATGAACAAAATTTTTGCTATTAAAAAACGACATTCTAAAAAAGCGGATTTTCGGCCCACCCTAATATACAGCCTTATTCGTTATTCTTTGGGCTACAATTTGGTGTGAACATTTTTCTGGACCAACGTGGACCGCAAAACTTATCTCTAGTTAAGTTACAAAACACACAATTTCTTTTTACATACATAATTAATTTAAACCAATTTTTTTATATTTTTATTATGTATATATACATACATTCTTATAAGAAGTAACAGCGCCTTAAAGGCAGAGAAAATTCCGTTCAAATCTAAAATCTGATTTTTTCCGTATTGCTCCACTTTAAACACTGTTTAATAAACAGCTGTATCTTTTTTAAATAAAATGGTTTTTTTTACTTTTTCATTCGGAGTCTTACAAATTAAGGTTTTTTCTTTACATTGGTGTATTATTTTTTTGATCAGATAAAAATCTTACGCTTTCCTTACATGGTTAGGGGTTTAATCGAAATATTTTAGGTAAGGGTTCGATTTTTTAAAAATTGATTAAAATGAATGTATCAGTAAAATTTTTATAGGCCTGTTGTTTTTGTTTTGGAACTCGCCAACAGTGGTGCTGTAAAAATACTATGGCTATATTGTTTACTTCCAAATTACGTTGTTTTAAATATTTTAATTTACCACAATCCTTAGAATTCGTACAAACCTATTAACGATATTCGGGTTCTGTTTTCTCTATTCGAAGAGCACTTTGTACAGCAAATCGCATATTCTGGTGGATGATTTTCTTATAACACAAAAGGCCGATGCTGCACCAAATATGCCTGCACATTGTACAATGGTAAAAACTTATTAAGCTGTCTATATCACTCTAAATCATGCTCATATCTCCTATTTTTACCATACTTTTGACTTTCTTATATAATATTTAGTTGAATGGTGGAGGTAATTAAAACGAAATTAAATTATATTGAATAAGTTTAATACTTAACATCAGATTTGCTTTTCACAAAATTCTGAATAATAATAAGGAACATTTATTTAAAATAAACGTTAACATTGTCTTTACAGTAAACTTATTATTTAATAATAGAGTTTGTACTTTTTATATTACACTTAAATCACGATTTTCACTTTTTACAATTGTCCGATTAAATCACTTTTAAAACCAGTGAACTGACGAATCCTGCACTTGAGCTTCAAGCCCTAAAACAAAACAAAAATATATAGGGTACTTTGTAATATTTTATATTATTATAATACATTTATTATTTAGAATATAAACAATAATAAAAAGCTAAAAAGATAAACAATTGCTGGAATAACGTTGTAAGTTTCAGTTTTGTTGCTTTTAAATAAAAGTAAAATATAACTGACATTACACAAAATTACAAAAAATGCTTCATTTATTTTTCGCTTTTACATTGATTAGAAACGAACATATAAAATATTATTTCCCGAACAAACAGCATTTTGTCATATTTTGCCATGGCACTGACAGGTTATTCCAGCATAACATTTAATAGTTATTATTGTTAAAAGTTTCTGAACCAATAAAACGTTTCATAATCTTTTGTATTTCGATAAAGACAAACTACTCTCTTAAAATAAAATAGTCAAAATTCTACTATTTGAATTAGTACCAGCATTGATTACTTATAAAATAGTAGTTTTCACTTTTAAATAGTTATTGTTTACTACTTAAGTAGGTAGATAAAGTTTCACTTATTTAAGATAAATCACCATCTTTGACTGTTTCTAAGAGTAACTAATATCTTTAATCGAGTTAAATGCATATAGGTATGGTTTAATGACCCATAAAACAAACAAAGATGCAAACAGTAGCTCAAAACAGCAACACAAAATAGATAATTATTATATATTTTATAAATCATAATTATGGCACAAACGGCGCGCCTTATAGAGGGCATTCTACATAGGTACGCTAAGTGGTCAGCAAAAATATGAAAGTTTCTTTATTGTGGGGTATAAAACACACATACATGTCGTTTAGGGCTGAATTTTAAACATGATTGTATCAAATGATAGATATATCTAATCACCAAATAAAATTTAAAAAAAAAATTGAAAAAATTATAATGGCACTGTTTTAGGTGCTACCTCTTTTCGAGAATAACATTTTTTATTTTATACAGTGTGACCCATTTGTTTGCGACTCGCCTCTGTAAAATCTTTATTTATTGTGCGATTTTAACCGGATTTGTTTTAAAGTTGAGATCTTGATAAACTGTATGTTTGGAGAAAAAACATATATTTACAAAATACATAGCCTACTATGTCAGTTTTTCTGAGTAAATTTTGAAGAATTCATATTAGCAGAATCCATGCACGGCACTGGATTCACCACCCCTCAAAACGACCCTATACTAAATTTTATTGAAATTTTTTAAGTAGGAACGATTTTGTACACAGTTAAAACTTTTTAAAATTTGTGTTAAAAATAATGCGTGTTAAATAAAAAAAGGAAAAAATTTACATAAACTTCCTAGTGTTTATAACATAAATGTTATTTGATACAAAAATTATAATAATTAAAATCTTAAAATTTTAAAATATTTAACAAACATTAATGTGTTAAAAGGTCCTACACAAATAAAAATGTTAAATAATAATTGTTTTGTACATTGTAGTATAATAATATAGTTAATGTTACGATAAAGTTATGTAAATTTCAATATAATACATTAGTTTAAATAACTCTTAAACAAGTGTTAATCTTACTCAAAAATATTTGTTAAACATTTGAGTACAAAAATTATTATCAAATCAAATTAAAACAATTGAGTATTTTTTTTAGTGATGCCGCGAGACGAGACGAGACGAGAAAAGTCCTCCTCTCGTCTCGTCTCGTGCAGCGAGAGAAAATGGGTCTCTCGTCTCGTCGAGAATACTCTTTTCTCGCTCGAGAGTGCCTTTCTCTCGTCTCGTCTCGTTTCTCTCGTGGTAAAAGTACCTAAACATGAATACAAAAATTATTTGGAATGAAATACAAATTCGTTTATATTTTTTTATATAGAAATTTAAACTGGAAATAAAAAAAAATGTGTGCCAAGACCACACTCACAGACAAAATAGACTTGCCTTAGGGAGAAAATGATACGGCCGGGCGGGTGCCTGAACGGGTGCCTGTTTTCCAGTTCTCATCATTCATATTTGAGCAGTTGACCTGTGAGGATATATTATTTATGTAAAATTCTTTGAACATTATGGGTAAATGTGTTGTCAAAGTGTGTCCTAGTCGTAGTGAAACTAGTTCCAGCCAATTTCAACCAATTTCCTTTTTCCAGTAAGTAGTAATTACGAGATAAATTTTAAGCGATTTTATTAATTTTGCATGTCAATACCTTGCGTGCGCACACAGATGTTGTATTGTTCTCTCCTGTGCACAGAGCCGTACTTCGTTCATTCTGGAGCGTAAAACTAGATGAATTTCTTTGATAATCCACTAGGAATATTTTAAATTAGATACCGCTCGTACGAAATTATTTAATACGGGCCTGGCAGAATACATATCTTCTCTTATATAATATATAATATAATGTATACATTCCCTTGCCCCCCTACCCCGATTTATGGCACGCTGGTTTCATGTTAGCGATACTGAGCAGGACAAGTCTATTTTGTCTGTGACCACACTAATAAAGTAAGACTTTTTACGCCGAAAATGTTGCGCATTTGAATCAAATGGTTGGATCTATGTGGAGTAGTTACATCTAGTATTATACACCTATAATTATAGGTGTTTCTTTTAACTTGAGACAGCTCAATATCTCGTGAAATACGCATTTCACAGAAAAATGTCTTAAATAAAAGGTTAATGTGACCAAAGGGGACATTATTTGGTGCTACCGCTAGCCACCCCCTACCTCTCCTTAAGGATGAAATGGGGGGTAACTTTAGAAAGTCAAATGGAATGACCCGATTTTTTCACAGATTTTGGTAGTACATAAAAAAATGAATAACTTTTATTAGAAACTTTTTTTTCAATTTATCAACAGATGGCGCTGTAATTCAAAATTTAAGAAAATTGGGTTTCCTTTAAAATGTATTATTTGAAACGTTTGAAAAACAAATATTAACATTAAATCAACAATAGTCGGCTCTGAAAACAATTTATAACAAATGTTCAAAATGTCATCCTTTCATTTCGACACATTTTTTAATGCGGGTAATGAATTCTGGCTCCACCATGTCCTCCAGAGTTGTAGGAATTGCAGCGTAAACTTTTTCTTTCAAGTAACCCCACAGGAAGAAGTCTGGCAGATCGTTTTCTAGAAAATTCCGGTAATTTTCACCATTTAATGCCGTTCGCCAAAGGTACCGCACCAAACGTTTACCGACCAGGGACGCTGGTGTCGAAATGGAAGGACGACATTTCGAACATTTGTTATAAATTGTTTTCAGAGCCGACTATTGTTGATTTAATGTTAATTTTTGTTTTTCAAACGTTTCAAATAATACATTTTACAGAAAAACCCATTTTTCTTCAATTTTGAATTACAGCGCCATCTGTTGATAAATTGAAAAAAGTTTTAAAAAAAGTTATTAATTTTTTTATGTACTACCAAAATCTGTAAAAAAAGGGTTATCAAATTTGACTCTCCAAAGTTACCCCCCGTTTCACCCTTAGGAGGGGTAGGGGGTGGCTAGCGGTAGCACCAAATAATGTCCCCTTTGGTCACATTAACCTTTTATTTCATTTTTCCGTGAAATGCGTATTTCTCGAGATATTGAGCTGTCTCAAGTTAAAAGAAACAGCCTGTATCGGCGCAGTAGTTTTCAATGGATCAAATCATTTGATCCATCCATCTGAAAACTACTGCGCATATATGATGTAACTACTCCACATAGATCCAACCATCTTGTACCTACTGCGCATGTCCGTCATTTTGAATCCGCAATTTTGTTTTTTTTTAATGAATATCAAATTCTGAATCAGGGACCCCATAAATATCTGAGTACTAAATTTTACCCAAACCATTAAAGCCGAACGACGAATTTTCGTCATATTGGATCAGCCATTTTATTAAAAAAAAAAATGGATATCAAATTTGTAATCAGGCCCTCAAAAACCACATGTTGTTGATAAGTTTATTGAATAAGCCTTGCTATTAAGCAAACGGGTTTTTTTTAATAGTATAAGGAGTGCCATAGATGTGCTTATACAGGGTAAATTTTAAAAATTATTATTATTTTATAAGTAATTTTTTCTTGGTTAACGTTAAGTTGTGTTATAAAATAATAAAACGTTAACCAGGAACAAATTTTGTTTATTATGAAATGCGAATAATGTTCTCATTGGTCCAAATAAATATCGTCATTTATGTGCAAAATTATAATTTTTATGTAAAAAAAATTGTTCTTTATAATCGAGAGAACGAGAGAGATCGAGAGAAACGAGAAATTCTCGTGCGAGAGAGGGCATTCTCTCGTCTCGTCTCGAGCCTTTTTTCGAGAGAAAATTGCCCTCTCGTCTCGTCGAGACGAGACGAGACGAGACGAGAGGCGAGAATCTCTCGTATCGGCGGCATCACTAATTTTTTTATTCAATTTAACTTAAATAAAAATGTTATTTTTCTAATTCGCTAATTTTCGCCTTCTTTCGATTTAAATCGGTACCCTGCAAGGCGGCCTTGCCAAGGCCCTTTGTCTTCTAACCGCGTTTAGTCGGTTGATGATAGTTAATTCGATTAGAGGTTCCTAATTGTAAGGTAAAGTGTGCTTTTATATAGCGTGTGTTTAACAAAATTTAAAGGTAAGCTTGCTATGATGTTTTTTTTTTACTTACATAACGTTTTTATCCCCAGAAATGTTTGGAAGACCTATGGCATATATTTTAGTGAATTCCAATGCTAATTGAACAGCATTATAAATAGGAGAAGCATCTAATTGAAATTTTAAATTCAGGAGATTATGTAATGGTAAATCATCTAATGCGTTTCAAAACTCGTTTCCAAGAAAATTTAAAAACCCATTCGCATTCACACCAAACGTTAATTTTTTACTACTGTTTTTTTGCATTTATGACGAATTCCGGATTCTCAGTTGACCGGTGACGGCAATTTTGACTTGAAACTACCCCATTGGTAGTAAATGTGGCTTAATCGCTAAATAAAATTTCATTTAAAAAATTTCGATTATTTAAATATTCCCCTTATAGCCAATAGTAAAACTCTAATCGTCTT